AACTGCTCACTTATTTTTTTTACCAACAAAATCAGACAAAACGTTTCTTTCTTGACGCACAAGGGTTCAATGTCTTTATTTTTAAGCAAATCAGTAGGTTGCAGTTATTTTACTCTCGGTTTGTATAGTAATAAACCATCCGAAATCGGTGAATTACACGTTCAAGTCAATTACCTTTGGATTGTAAGTAGAGAGTCTCCTCTTTTACTCTCTACTATTGTCAACTATTAACAAATGACGAATCAGACAATAGTTTTGCTTAAAACAATGTTTATTTCATTATTTGTGTTCTATAGAGCCGTGTAAATATTGTCTCAATTAATTTACATTAAAACGTACTACTAGATGATAACAAACGAATAACAGGTATCGTCTGTGTAGAATAAATGTATTAATCATGGAAGGAAGTGCATTGCGCGATCGGTATTGGAAACGCCAAATTAATATGTAATATAATATTATTCTAAAGGTCACTCGATATGTGCCGGACGCCGTGTTGGTCGTTGGTTGTTTACTGGCATGCACAGCCAATAATATTATTATCAAGTGATTCGATAGTAGTTGCGCACCGATTCGAACGCGACCTGTAGACTAATATAGGTCCGGACACAATAATAATTATAATACATACTTTGGAAACCCCTACGGGTCACAGGCGTTACTGTACTAGAAAGGAAAATAATTATACCTTAAAAATAATCCTGGTATCTAACACCAATGAGCACATTATAAACTTGCATGTCCTCGGGCAAGTGTGATCTTGTTACGGGGCGTAGCCGTTTTACGGTAAAAACCTAACACTACCCGAATAATATCCGTCGAAATGAATAAAATAAAATATATTAGCTCGGCATCTTCTAAAAACCCCCGAATCGTTAAAACCCCTAAGAACCGCGACGATAATGATATTAAACAAATTGTAATGTAACACCGACAATACTGTCTAGTACGATTCCCTATGCGTTAATTTTCCTAAAAACTTTCCCAAAAATATTAAACAAAATATGCCCATTTTTCCATAATATTATGTTATAAATTATTGAGATTAATATCTAAACACCGATGCCGAGGCACCGTGATCTGTATTGTGAACTTCTGATTTTATTTATTAATATTTTTTTTGTATTTATTAATGTTTTTTACTATACACTTATTTTCCTTCACTTGTAACCTCGGATACTTCTTATGAAATGTTTTTATTCGTATTTTAATTGATCAACGTATAAAACATTTTATAGCACAAGTTATCGTAGTTAGGTAAATACCAGTTTTGATAGCAGAAATTGTTGGTAAATAAACAATTAACTACCTAGTTTTATTTTGTTTACTACGAGGAAATAATAATTAATTCTCGGACTTGAAACAGATTTTGAAAACAACATGCAAAATACGGAAATAACATTAATTATAAATTCCTAAAATGCGCTATGCTTAAAACGTGCAAGTTCAGCACGATGATGGTTTAAGACCAACTCTAGTCACGATGCAAAGTTGGGATTATATACTTTATTTGTATATTAAAGAGTAGGTACATTTAGAACTTTGAGTAGATATATTGGGTGACACGCACGATGCTGGATCGTAGTTCTACGGACCGAAGTGTTGGTGGTAAACACTTGAATGGAAAAAAACCCTTTCATTTGGTATAAAAATCGGTTTTTATCGTCCATCAATCAAAAAAGCACTCAAACGACATTGAAAAACAAGCCCGGCCGAAAAGTTATGAATATTATCGAATTGTTACAACTAAACTGAAAAAATATATATATTTTTTATAACGATACTAGTGCAACCAGACTAAATTAACCGACCAATACGATTTTCGGTTTACAAGTGTTTAATAGTTAGTTGTTTTCAAGTGGAAATTGCCGGAACACTTGACACCATTTCGATGTGTGATCAAAATTTCTGTAGTTGTTACAATATACATAACTGATAGCCAATGCCTACATTATAATGGGCTGTATAAACTTTATTGTGTGCACGTAAACGAGACGCACGAAAAAAACACAAAGTTGTCGTAAACACGTGATAAAATATAGATACCGTATTTTCAGGGCCGTGAAACAATATTTTCAACGTCCCCAATAATAATAACAACGTTGGTTTTTTAATTTAAAACTTCTTGCCAATAAACCGACAAGGCCAAGGGATTACCAAGAGGGGCAACGCAAAAATACCATGAGAGTTTTTACAACTTCAGCATAATAAATACACAATTTTTTATTTTTATTTTTTGTAAACAAGCCCTTTATAATAGAATCATAAGAGGTCATGCGACTGATTTTTTGATTGCTATTGTTAAAAAACAAAATGGCCGAGTAAGGGTAAGAATAACGTTATTGTTTGTGCGTCGAACAGAAATGGAATGGTCAACCTCTCACTAGTTTTATACCTATCCTACCCCTGGGATTGATAGAATAAGTTCAATCTGTGCATGTAAGTATAAAAATGTTTACACATAGCGTTCGTCTCTTGTTATCACCGTTTCAGCTGATAACCGTGTTGGCAATTTATTTGACAACGGGTACACCGTTTTAACGGAATGTGATGACGAAGACACAAAGCAGCGTATTATGTTAAAAGCGTTAATTGATTTTTTTTAATTAAGATTTAGAAAAACAAAAAGTAGAGGTATGTGTTCGTCTTAAAGTCAACACGTGTCATTGTATAAAATTATTTTATTTTCTCCACGACAAGTGTCTGCTCGTTACACAAAGTATGTATTTAAATCTAACAATCGATAATCTCATATAATCCCACAGGTGTGTGCGCCACTCGCTAGCTGTTCCACTCAGGTTTCAAAGGGAGAAAAAAAAGAGATAAATATTATAAGCTGAAGACAATTTTCCTTTCAAACGGTATTCGTAAAAATCTCAGTTACGCCTATGAAATATCATTAATCGAAAGCATTTGTACGCAGACAATTAAGATAATATAAGCCGGCTGTAGTCGGACAACTAAAACGGTTGTTTTTTTTTTACCGGCTGACACGCGGTCATATAATGTTATAATAGTTCCCGTGTGTTATCATAATTACATTGTGAGCGAATACTAAATAAATCTTTAACAAAAAACACAACCGAAGGTCATCTCTTTATCCGATCGAATCTAGTCGTTGAACGTCACAAATGGTATTCATTTTTTAAACAATTTTTTTTTTATACCTACTGCATACGACACGCTCACTGATGTCGCACACAATAATACAAAGCCAACCGCTAGTCGGGGGGGGGAGGGTTCCAGAAAAAACTAACCTCTAATATTATTATAATTTCGGCCGCCGCGAGTCCGTGACCTTTACTACTGCGGTGTTGTTTTATCACAAACACATGGAAGAAAACCGAGACCAGTTTCTAGAATACTAATAATTATTTTACACAATATACGTCATCGGAGACCCGACAACAATGCGACACGGTAAACATTGTTGTTGATATTTTTTTAGTGTTTTTTTTTTTGTTTTTACGAACAAACAGAAACGCTGGACTCGTTCCAAATAAGTAATAACGTCATCGTCCGGCCAGTTACGGGATAATATAATAGATTTCACCGGAAAATAATTATAGTTGAGTGTTAATCGAAAAAAATCCCTCTGGAATTCTCCCACCACAATCGAAACACGGTAGCTGTTTTTTTTTTTTTTTGGGAATCTTTTTTTAGTTAAACCGTTCACCCAAAGTATGCCAAGCCGGGACAGCCTCAGTCAAAATACAATAACTTGACTTGAATCTGAATATAATGACAATATTTTAATAAAGCGGTATGTTCAAAAACAAAAGCGCGATTTCGCAAAATTAAGTAGGGACTATTAAGAGGAACGGATAGAGCATTTAATTACTGAACAAAAGATAGGCAACGATTGGCATAATTTGATCAAAAGCTATTTCTAATAACATGGCTAATTATTTAAGGGAAAATAAATATTAGGTTATCGAGTTAAATAACTTTTACCGGAGGATAAATCGCAATTAAAAATAATGTACCCATGATAACTTGAACTAGATATTTTTTTTTTCAAAATTTGTACTGATTTCGGCCTTTTAGTCCCCACAGAGGAAATTAACATATTTTAACAAAACATTTGACCCATAATTTATATACGGTTCGACCCCTTATGTGTCCATACTAATCATGGTACAAAACGCAAACAATTTTGGGAGTATTAATTTCAAAATTAGAGGTGCTAAGCACGCACACCCCCTCAACGTGTTCGGTTACTGTGATTTTGTTTGGTTTTGCCAATAACAGATCTTTCAACACTTGCGTTCGCTAGACAAATATTATGTAAACTATAGTATTTGTTTTTTTTTTTAGATATTACAGGTACGACATTTATTAATTTCTTACAGTTACCGGTTTTCTTTGATGATAAAACACACCCGACCGAATCCGATTTCGAAGGGACTTATTTTTACTGTGGGTCGTAAAACGAACACGATGCCACCAGATGGTCGACCGTTTTGTGTAAGTTATATAATATTATTATCATCCATTGTGTGCTGTGTGCAGACTGCAGACGATATTACGGTTTCCCCATAAGAAACGACCCCGTCGTATAGCGGAGGCGGCAGGGCAAGTATATACGATTTTACAAGTAAGGTCTGTCAACCGGTTTCTTTTTATCAATTCCCCTCGCTCAGTGCCGAGTACGATAATAATATTAAATATTATACCGATAAAATATTATACATATATATATATCACTCGCGAAACGGATGAACAACGAACGTCGGGTATTAACGAGTACCACCGACGGCATAACTTATTATATTATTAGGCATTATCATAAGACCGCAGTAATAACGATCAAGGTATTCCCGTGGCGGTCACGTGCACGCGTCCGGACCACGCGACAGACCGTTTTCAGGTATATAGGTAATACACTACCTCAACAAGCAGCACACACTAATACTCTAATAATAATTATAAACAAATATACAATAGTTTTACATATTATTTTCTAATATAATGATAAAATAAAAAAATCGTGTACTCACTGGATAGTGCGGCAGCGTATTGTCTGAACTTCTTGCCTTCTCTCCGCGTACCCTTCGGTCCGTTGACGGACAACATGCTGCTGAAAACCGACAAATCCATGGTTGGTTCTCGGTGATTTCAAAACGCGCACAAAAATATGTTAAATGAAAATTTGATGTGTCTACAAAAAATGTTATGTCAAAAAAATAGAGCAATAGAAATCTCGGCTGGCCAAAGTATCTGAGCTTGTGTGTGTGTGTAAGTGTGCGTTAGAGGTTACGGCGAGGAGAGGATGCTGTTTGCGAGGAAACCGACAAACGAAGAAAACCCGCGTTTTTTTTTCAAATAAATATTTAGTTTTATCCAAAACGCTCTTGGTCTGGCGCGCGGTGGCCTATTATAAATACATAAACTGTTGTCAGCGTCGGTGAACCGGCGGCGGCGGCGACGGTGGAAAACGCGTCGGACAAGTCATACGAGCCGGTACTCAAAAAAAATTGGATTAATATGGTAAAAAATCAAATCGAGCTACAAAAAAAAAAAAAATGAACCGTATTGTCTGTGGTCGGGACAGAGCGCAGCGAACGCGTTACGTGCTCGCGGCTGTTTGGCACGGACTCGTTTGATGATAATAATATTAAGACAGAAGACGGTCGGTCCGTCTCGTTGCCAACAGCGCTCCTGCGGCGTCAACCCTCGTCCTCGTGTGTATGTGCACGCGACGTTAAAATGCGACCACGGCGCAGGTAGGCCTCCGCACGCCATACAAATATTATATATATATGTATGTATGTATGTGTAATTTATCGTTTATCATAACGGTAGTGAAGCCGAAAAGAGCCAATTTTTAACGATAAAAAAAAAAACACAATCGCAAGTCGTAGGCGGCGAAAATAATAATCACTAACGCGAAATGAGAAATTTATTAAAAAAAACGCCCTCCAGGGCCGGCACCAGACGATATTTCAGCCTGGGTAGTAAACTCCAATTTTGCCGTCCTTTTTTAATTATAATGAAATTATAAACGTTTTCAATTCGTAAACAAGTTGCGCCTTTGCAAAATGCCGCCCTAGTCGATTTTCCTACGTTGCTATCCCTTGCTTAGGCCCTGGCATGCTCTAAGAATTTTTAGAGGGCGATTTAGAGTTTAATAATAAATGAGTAAAATTACCCGCAGAATTGAGGCGTCATTCCAATAAAAGTTTATATAAATAAATTAGTAAATAAGATATTATTAATTAGGGAAATTATTGGATTACAATTTTATCTTTACATTTTAAATAAGGATATTTGTTATGAATTCCGTATAATATGTGAACATTATCTATTTTTGTTTATAATTTAACATGTTTTTAATTCACTAAAAAAAATCACCTAACTAGATAAGACAAATACTCATACATTATTTCCTTTAATGGGTCACGTTGGATGCTCGCCACAATAATTTGTTTTCTTTTTATTTTCAACTTGTTGTGAAAATATAATATGCTGATATCAGTAAAAGCAATTATTATTATACCTACAATTAATAATTATTCTCACTACTCTTATTGCATTTTTACTAATCCCTTGCCAATTTTTCGGTTTATCAAGGGGCTTCCAGCTGGGTACAAGCAAATTTTGTCAAAATATTAATTTAAAAGTAAAACTAGTGTACTTTATATAATTTAGTAATGAGAAGTTTTATATAGACTATATAGCGTCTGTCAATGTTCTTCAGTATTTTTTCATGATTATCGATGAGTTATTAACTGTCCTAGTTTGCCTGGAGTAGTCATAAAGCTTTAAAATTTGAATAGCACTTATAAACAATATTAAAGAACGCATATAATCTGGAGAGGAGGGGGGTTAATACAGTAATTAAATGCATAAAAACATAGTTATAATGTAATAAACAAGTATTAAATATTGAGTGTTTCCTGCTAGGTTTTAATTCAATATCACTATAATTCGAAAAAATTATTAAAAAAACTAATATCTAAAAAAAGTTTTACTTTTTATCCCTAAATAAATAACCGTACTGATGAGGACGTCACACTCGTCATTTGCCAGGACAGTTAAAAAGTTCTAAAAACAGTTACAGCCTTTTTTCTGCTATAAAGACGTTTATTTAATCGTAGATCATAATATATATATGAGCGTCGTTTATGGGAAGGAGTATTGTGGATAAATGTACTATACCCCTTCTAAAATAAAAGAGAAAACAAGTTCCAACAAATTATTATATTGGCGGCCATTATAATAAAACAAATAAATTGTTTTCGTCAAACAAGATAACAAACAATTTCTTAGCCGAATTTTCTTGAATTAAAATTTACAAACTTTCAAGTTCACTATAAATTGGACAACATATAGTCATATTATTTAGTTAGATATTTGAGTTATCAAAAGGAATATTTGTGTAAATAACTCAAATTAATTATCAATGTTAGTCTGTTTACTCGAATAAAGTTACTTATGAAGTATGTTTACTTTGAACAGAAATGTAGTCAATACTTTTTAACAATTCCAATCAAACATACTTGTATGTAATGTAAAAACATATGCATGATAATATAGCGTTCTTCAATATTAATTATAAATAACTATAATGAAGTTAAACAAAATCCTCCCGCTGGTGCTCCTGGTGGTTTAATGCCTTATTTCGAATAAACAGACAACACTCACGCCAATGTTTCAGGTATATTGTACCAGTTAACAACATAATTTTGGCAATAACTATTAAGTGTTGTTTTTATCAAACCCATTTAAAAAAGAAGTTCAAATTAATACACAATCAGGATGAAAAAATTGTAATTATTTTTAATTGCATCGATAGTATAATAGTATAATAACCGAAAATGTGATCTGAATAATTGACGAAAAGTGAAATAAAGAAGTAACATATTTTATAGTCATAACTCGCTAATTTTTTATTTTTATTGTCAATATTTTTTGGCAAGCCTACTTTAAGCACAATGTCTAGGAAACACTCAGTCCATACGACTAACGACATTAACTTGGCCTCGTGGGCCTAAGACCGAACAAAAAAAACATACCGACCATTATTTATCAAAAAAATGTACTATAACGTACTTCATACGTACTACATGTATAGTTTTTACAATGGTGTCTTTTTTTGTTTTGTTTTTTATACATAGGGAAAATTAGAGGGTAATATTGTGAAAATTAGGGCTCGATTGCCTAAGGCCAGGCCTTTGACTAAATAGTCTAATACTATAAGTAATATGTCTTGGTAATTTTTTTTTTTTTTATTCGATTCCGAAATATTATTTGTTTGTATGGGCGAATGATGATAATTGGCTAGTATGATATTAATATTTTGTAGAACAATTAGCTATGATAATATAATAATGTTATTAAATGTCGATAATATTTTTCGGTTTTGAGATTATTATAATAATTATTTAATTCGTAGCTGTAATGTATTCGACAATATTTCGTCCTAAGTTCAAAACTTAAAATACATACCTACATAGAGATCCTTATAGAGTTAAACTATGCATAATGTTGTGTTCAACACGACTACTTGAGCGAAACTCGTTTTACATCGTATACTTAATCGCGTACTGCGTAGCCAATTTGACAATATCATAATAATTTATAATAATTAATAATTGTAAGAACAATTAGTAATAATCAAATCGTATACACATTTAACTGAAATTTAGTGCGTGTCCGGAATATGGCGCGCCAACACAATTGATAGCAAAACAAAATAAAAATAATTCGTTTTTCGAATAACGTTTTGATTTTTCACGCGAGGCTTTGAGAATTTTGAAATGAAAAATTAACGTTTTTAAATGCATAACGTCTTCTTTCCGAAAAACGGCAAAATATGCTTTTTGTAAAGGTAATTTGTAAGATTTGATATTTATTAATCGTTATAATAAAGAGCCAGAACAACAAAGATTGATAGAATTTCCCAAACTATAGTTAGTAATGTCCTCAAAAACCGGTGCATGGTACCAAAACAACTGACCATATGATTAATCAGATATTTTTATGTAAATTACAGATTAAGTTTCGTTTATAATCGGTTGATGTCACCTACAAGCGCTATTGACTATTGATGAGATCAGAGGTTGGTATGACATTTATCATTTATAACATTTATATGTTTTTAATTATTCATATTGTTGTTAATTTATTGATATAATATTATAGTATTATAGTAATTATTAGGAAAACACATTATGCCGAGAAATGATAATGAGTGTATCAAGAACTGGCTATCTTAATTTCTAAATCCGTTTAAATCCTAAAACGGTAAAAACTCAGGACTTGATAGGTATTGCTAAAATTCTGCCATACAATAATATAAATGTTGTAGTAACCTTCTTTTGATAATATTGTTAAAAGTTTTGTTGTTAACCTTTTATAGTTTTTGCGAAAAATCCTAACGCCTCTGAGTGTTTCTGTATTTGACTTGTTTTCAAAATTTAACCACTAACACGGAACAAAAAAATATTGTTCACCCCGCCAAGTCACCTATCTTAATCGTGTTAAACTTTTTCGATACATCCTTTTCACTGTAGCGACACTTTGTACGGTAGTACAGATTGGAAAAAAATATCAGTTGTATGTTCAGCTCAGCCGACAGGAAGAACATTACAAAATGACAGGATTTTAATTAAAACGTATATTAAACGTGCGTTGTTGATGTGTTACTGATTTAAAATCAATAAAAATGGGATTTATTTATTTTTATATATGTTTACACTTTACATACACTCCGTTTGTCTAAAAACTGTTCCACTTTGCGACTGACACGGAAATCACAAGCGTGTATAAATAAAACTGACAAATTGCAACGGACCCTTTACCATCCGCTTAAATAAACTCTGTCTAGTTCAGCAACGTTACCTCGATGCAGTCATGTATAACACTTACGTTATTTTTAAGGCTAAGTATAATACTTTAAAAAAAAATAAAAAGGTTGCTCCACTGCCAGTATTCCACCAAACAAACGTGCAAGAAAGTATAACTTATTAGAATTAGAGGTTCGCCAAATTGTAAATGTGCCTATACAATTTTAATTTGTACACAATGTTTCTTTAAACTTAAATGAATGTCATGGCAAGTGCATATAAGAAAGTC